AGGGGCAGATTCATTGAGACAGGAAGCAAAGAGACAAGGCATTAAAGTTGGAGAATGCGTGATTTCCTGGGTGTGTAGTGTTTTGGGGAATTGTGGGAATATATGTCCAGCTGGATATTTTCACTGTTATTAGCAAGGAAATATTGTGGTATAGGAAAAATAGTATTTCGACTAAATTTAAGTCTGCCGTTAAATGTATCTGTTGTATAACAGTTCTGTATTTAGTAAAAAAAAAAAAAAATTGGTTTTTATTGTACTGCATTAATTTAAACAAGTTGAGATATAATAACTGCAAGTATTTTGAAACATTCTCAAACGGGAATGAGAAAAAGATAGTCTTTTTCTTTTTTGGCTTGGTATACTTTAGTATGTAAAATATTCCATTCTGTAGTATTTTTACAAGTATTTGTACTATTATAAGAAGTATTTGTAATTATTACTGTTGAGAAATTTACAAATATTAGAAAAAAATTTTCAAGATACACATTTTAACTTAGGGAAGGATCGGTCTACTTTCCCTTGACTCTTGTGTTTTCTATTTAGGAAATTTAAAAAAAAAAAAGGTATTTTTTAAAACTGAAGGGATTCTAGATTTGCTACTTACATACTAGTTTTTCTTTAAATTTTGTTGTTGAAAATATACACAGCAAAGCATACACCAATTCAGCTGTTTCTGCATGTACAGTTCAGTGACATTAATTATATTCTTCAAGTTCTGCAACCATTCTCACCCTCTGAGTTGTTCCCGTGCATTAAGTCAGTGTTCCCTAAGGTTCCTATCTAGTCTTTCTAGTTGCTATTGTCACTTGGATCCCATATAGGTAGTTCTTAAAAGAGCATAATACTCAAAGCAGATATTTTTTACTAGCTTTAATCTTTATTTTCAGATTGATGACACAGACGCCATGGAAGATGTACACTCTCTACTTACTGATGTTCCTCCACCTTCAGGTAAACAGAAAACAATGATTGATTTACCTTTGAGAAGAGACTAGTTTTGCACATCAATACGTTAGTTTAATAGTTCTTACAGTACTGACTTTATTTAAAAGGCTTTACCAGTGTCACATCCTGTCTTGTGTTTTATTGTTCCAAGGCTGAAAAAACAGTTTTAAAATACTGACATTAGAACTTGGGTAGAACTGTAGCTTAATTCTTGTATGTTTATCAGTGAAATTTATAGATTAACTATAGATAGTTTAAAGTCTTCTAAATATGTAGCTTTAGAGAAAAAGAATGAAAGGATCTTACAGTTAAGACATCATGTAATAACTGAAATGTTATTTTTTACCAAATTAAATGAAATGTTATTTACATATTTTAATTAAAATTTATTTTGACAGGCTTTTATAGTTGCAATACAGAAATTATGCCTGGTATAAATAATTGGACATCTGAAATACAGGTAAACTTTTTATTCTTAATTTTAAGCAAATACCACATAATATGTTTCTTTTTGACTTCCTTATTGCAATTAAATGCTGTCCTTTTTCATACCACATTGGTTATTAATATTGTTCATTATTTGGCAGTTTTACCAACTGTTATGGTATATAGTTAAATTTTTTAAAAAATAATAAAATTACATGATGTTGTATCTCTTCATGTTTAGATGTTCACATCGGTAAGAGTAACCAGATTAAGCAACCTTAACCTGACTAATCAAGCTCTTAATAAGAACTTCAATGATCTCTGTGAAAGTTTGCTCAAGGTAGGAACCCTCTGAATGACCAAAATTTTGTTAAGACTCCTAAGAATCATAAAAATTTAAAAATAAAGTGTATACGTTATCTGGAATACCTTACAGAGTTTTGGGCTGAGTTATTTTTATTTACACATTCTTAAGCAGGTCTCTCATCAGGTGAGATGCTAGAGCTGTCTTCTCCCTCTTAATATATAATCAT